CCTTCCTTCCTTCCTTCCTTCCTTCCTTCCTTCCTTCCTTCCTTCCCCTGGTTAAGGCTATAACAGATAATTATGCATTAAAAATCCTTGTATCCAAGTCTAATATTTTGATTTTCGGGTGTTTTTAATATATTACATAAAAAATGTAATATATCGTTAAGGATCAATTTCATGTAACCTGAGCTTATGTGAGTTTTACTTTTGGAACTAAGTACTTTAATAGATAAATGTTTATTTTAATTTATTGAGATGCACTTTAAGTGGTGATCCTAAATGTATTATTATTCACAAATAAGGACTTTCTACTAGTGTCTACACATGCATATAGGTATGTCAGAATGATAGTTAACTTAAAATTCCTTCCTTTGACACATTTTCATATGAAATTTAATGCAGCGTTTATGTTTTCAGGGGGATTCAGGCATTCATGGACGATCAGGCTTACCAGGGAGAAAGGGTGAACAGGTATGATAGATATCATAAAAAGGGATGCAGATTGATTTTTTGCTGCTCGTTATGCTTTGTTTGTTTTTTCAAGGGCGACATCGGGCCTGCTGGGGCCCCTGGGATTCCAGGAAAAGAGGGACTTATTGGCCCAAAGGTATATGAAAATTTACTCCTTACTAAGAAATGGACCAAAATGTGAAACTAAGATGTTTTAATTTATGGATGTAGGGTGATCGAGGTTTTGATGGAGCTGATGGACCTAAAGGAGCTCAAGGAGAGAAAGGTGAAAGGGTCAGTATTGTCAGACCTGCAGTGGCAATACACCATCCTACAGTGGTTTCTGAGTGTTTTCTTATTATATGCTTAATTATTAATAGTCATGGGTCTGAATTCCTCCTTCATTCTTAGGAATTCACAAAAAACATGAAATCCACAGAGAGCTGTTTTTTTTTCCTGTTTTTCAACAGGGAGCATCTGGTATACCTGGTCCTCCAGGTCCCAGAGGGCTAGATGGCCCCCCTGGCTTGACTGGCCCACAAGGACCAGCTGGTGCGAAAGGCCCTGAGGGACTCCAAGGACAGAAGGTGATTCTACTCACTGTGGTTTAAGCTGATTGTACACCTCAGGCACACAATACATTTATGGGGACTGAAGCTCATGAGAGAGAAAAAGATTAAAAATAAACATATCCAAGAAGTCTTTTGATACACCGAAAATAGCGTTCCTCTGTTGTTGTTTTTTTTTTTTTAAGTTAGAGTTGACTAAATCTAATAATAGGTTTGAGAGTGGAGGCATGTTGTTAGGACTGATATAAAAAGATTACAGTCTTTTTGTATTTCTTCTGTCTGAATTTTCCTCTTCTTTTTCCACTTGTCTTCTTTTATTGCCATTTATTGTCAGAAGATGATTGGCACTTTGAAGGGCTCTCAGTTCGACTGACTTGTCTGGTTTATCATCAAGTTAATAAAGGAAGCTGGCGACAGGGTAGAGGGTCACATCGGGTGTCTGTGTTAGATGGCCGTCTCTTTCTGATGGAACATGTTGATTTAGAACTGTTCTCCCCTACACTATTCTAACAATGTCTTTATTTTTTCACATAGTCATTCTTCCAGAGGAACCTACAAGCTGATGAATCATGATAGATAACTATTAATAATTTATTGCTCATAAATGATAGTACTGCATCATATGAAGTACTGTGTTGGGGGTTCAGAGCCCAGCAAACCTCCAAATAATTCAGCGATTTAGAACTGATATAGTACAGTTTCACTTGCTTTAACTTTTGAATTCATGTAAAGAACTTTGCATTGTCTCAATAATAAGCTTGCCTTGCCTTGCCTTCTATTAGCTCAAAATGTCTCCACATTTCACACCTGCAAAGAGGTACAAAGGAAAAATGCCTTTCAATACCTTTGAAAAGTATTTACAGTACACCACTTTACTAATGCTTTTGTTTTTTGTTTTTTTTTACTATTTTATTGTGATCTTATGTGACAGACCAATACAGAGTTGTGAATACTACTAACTATATCTGTGAATTCCTGAGATTGTGAAAAAATAATCTTGAGATGTTTCTCAGGAAACAAAATCTGATTTGTTGCCAGTCTATTACTGTTAGTATTATTTAGAATCACCTTTTGCTGTAATCATATTTTCAAGTTGTCTAAATTTGTCAAGACTACCGTTCTATATCCACAGCCAAAGGAATTTAACCATTTTCAAATGTAGTCAGATTGTTTGGAGAGTATCTATAAGCAGGAATTAGTCCCCCCCACAGCTTCTTATTCGGATCTTTGGTCTAAACTTTGACTAGGCTTTTTTTTTACAAAAATACATGACATGCCATAAGAAAAGCAGCAGTACTAGTAGTGGTAATGTTATGTGTGAAAAGGGATTAAGCCTGACCTTATTCTCAGCCCTTGCTTAAAAAGAAAACCTGTTTAAGTTGAACGTCAGCGTGAGTTTGTAGTAGGGGTGGAACGGTTCACAAAATCCACGGTTCGGTTCGGTTCACGGTTTCGTGGTCACGGATTTCGGTTCAGTTCGGTATATGTTGATTGTTAGCCTGACATGTTGGTCGTGTTGCTGTTAGAATAAACAAAACTTGTTGC